CTGTTGGATGATACAGGCGTAATATGACGAAGATTTTTGCAAGAAAGTCTGTCCGGCTGGAAACCCAGTAATTCTTCCTTCCAATTATTGGAATTAGTATTATATATATGTGCCCCTATGCACTGAGAAAACGCTGGCTTTTCGTGCCAAGCTGAACGACTTGTGGAGAGCATTTTTTGTGCCTTATTAGTTTCTCGTTTATATGACTGCATTATTCCCACAGAAACATCTGAGCAATTGTTAGTAAAACCCGGGTTGTTTGTGGGAATGGAATATATGCCGCCTCAACCTATCTGGCCTGGAAAATTCTGGGATGCTCATATCCGTTTTGTTCTATGCAGAGTGCAGTAAAATCCATCGCATGAAATTGTGGACCAGAGTTAGGCAGAACAAAATTCAACTCATTTAGTATCAGTCAAAAATATCAACATGATACTCTAGTGGCCGTTCATTCTACAAGCAGCTTTATTGTTTAGTTTGCGCTGCTATCTCACAGACATTAAAAAATATTTTGTCTGCAAGAAATGGAACCCTCATGTGGGTTTTCGGAAAAGAGATTACTAGGGTGGAATTCGAAAGATTGTGCACTCTACGACGGTTGTTTTTTTGTAAGGTTTGGTTGTAAAATAACAGCAATCAAAATTTCCTGGCGTAACTCCAATATTTTAGATCAACTGATAGTTATCGATGACAGTTTGAAATCGAAGCGTCCAATTGAACCAGCTGGTCCCGTGTCTCAGTGCTTCACTTCAACCAAAGTTTACAAGCATATATATATATATATATATATATTTCGACCATAGAAGGAATTACATATTGACATAAGCCGAGATTGGTGTAAGTTAAGGCGTTGAATGTCTACAGTAAGACGTACGAATTGGCTAAAAAATTATCCTCGGTTTTCTAGATCCTTTTACTTTCGACATACCTTCAGAAAGCATTTTGTTACACCATTCGGGCAACTGAATAATGATTTCGCCATGTCACGTGTAGAAAAGTTAATCCTACTAGTGTTCGCTTTTCTATGGTCAGCACACATTATCGGCGGTTTACTTACTTTTCACTGTTGATGAAACTATTTATACATTGACTGTCTGATGAATTGCAAACACACTGAAGTACTCGTACAACGCAACAGTAGGCCAACTAAGTGCTACTTCACCTCCATCAACCTCGGTGGTAGTCGGGTATGAACTCTAAGAATTACCTTACCGTTATTACTTTATTATCTATTTGCTATTATTCATAATTATCCATTATGCATTATTTATTTATCATTTATTTCTATTTACTTATTTACTGTTTATTTATTATTTATTTCTTTACTTATGTATGAATTTTATTATCTCACAAGAGAACAAATCGGTTGCGTAAATAACCCCTACCACCACCACCACGAATGCTCGAGCTTTATCTAAGTCTTGCCCCTGTCTCTAGATACCGCAAATGGATGGTTTTCGTCGTCTCATGTAACCATACGGAGCCATGTTTTCGGATGACCTCACCAGTGTCTGCAGCTGCTGCACTTTAGGGCGATGGTCACCATATCGTTGTCAGGCTTGCGGACTATGTATTAAAGCCGTTGAAGCACAAAATTAGTTGTTTTGTGCCCCCGGAACGTTCGAAAAAAAACCGTCCGGATTTGCTTTAGGAATAATCGCGAAACCTCAAGAATTTTCCACATCACACCGATTAGGTCTTGTGTATATTCTAACACCCTTATTAAGTTTCCTTCATTGTCAGCCAGTCTTCGTCTCAGAACCATAGCTCGTGTGGGTTGCTTTAGGTCGCGAAACCTCAAGAATTTTCCACATCACACCGATTAGGTCTTGTGTATATTCTAACACCCTTATTAAGTTTCCTTCATTTCATTCCAGTCTTCGTCTCAGAACCATAGCTCGTGTGGGTTGGTGTTGGCGAATCCGTAACGAGGCAGTTAGAAAGTGTGTTTTTGGTTGTGTAACGGGTACTTCCATTAAAGAATGTGTCCAGCACATGAAGCTGCGTTGGTTGGGACATGTGTTACGTTTGCCGAAGAGAGTGCTGTTTTCCATGCCCAATTCGGAGTGGCGTAAACAGAGAGATGGCCAACCCTTGATTTAACAGAGGAGTATGAAGGAGATCACCAAACGCTTGGGTGCTGTCGGTGCTACCCGCCCTCCAGGATGGGGACCGCGTGATCCTCACTGTGCCTGGTTGGAGACACTACAAGATATGGCTGCCAACCGATGTCAGTGGCGTTCTTGTTGTCAGTTTCTGTCCAGATTGCCTGAATGAATGTCTGGAGGTGTAGGCACCTCGGAATGATTGTGTTAAGCTAGCACCAAGTCCCTCCCCCATCCACCTTTATTCTTTTCTTTACAATAAGGCTTTCAAATAAGTCATGGCTGTACGGCAGTGAAGCATCGGTGTTGAGCACTGATGTCATGCTGTCGATGATGATGATGAATGAGATAGTAAAACATTTCTGGAGACCCAATAGTTTTTTGGCCTGCCTTCAGATAAGGCAACTTTACTGACTCATGACTAAGACAGTGGTGGACAGCATTAAAACGATGTTTTTACTGGCTGCTTCGTATCTTACATGTCTTTGAAGCTGGTTTATTACTGTGGTAATCCTTTCATGTAGTCAACCAAGCTGAATTCACTCGCGCAACATCGAAGGTGAGCAGGCAGTAAGTGTTATGGTGATTCAGTAAGGTTAGAGGATTTGAGTACCAAGACTAACAAAATGGACTGAAGCTGCTTTACTGTCTTGCAACTCAAACAACGCGCGGTTAATGGGATTCTGCCAAGTCATCCAAGCGTTGCCAGAAACACTTGAAAAGCCCGGTGGCTGTGAGCCATTAACTTTGTGACAAAGTTCCCACTTCAACCTTCACGTTGTTTGAAAGTCGACCAGGCAGACTCGTGGTGAGTACTGAAATTCAGTGGATCCACAGCAGATTTTAATAATATTTTCCTGTCAGCGTCCGCCTCAAACCATACAATCATGATGTTTTCTTCAAGAAGCTGAGACGGCAGCATTTCTTAATTTCGTTCCTCCTCCAAAGCAAACGTGTGGTCGAAAGACCGTCCATATGTGTAAACTTCCATTGCTCCTTTCATCTCTTTTATTTTGACGAAGATTTTTATTGCGCGCGATTTCCGTATCAACGAACTCTTGTCAGTGGAATACAGTTGATAGACCGGAACTTCTATATCAATTCGTTGTAGGCAGATTTTTCGTAATTTGCTATTCATTACGTAACCTCGCCAGGCCAAAATGTTTTGCCGTTTAGACTCTTAATTCTAGGCTGTTCATATCGCCTCAGTTGCCGGAAGAGAGTTCATATTCATCTGTTTATAAAGGTTCATGGTCACTTATTTATTTACCTTGTGACCCCATTGGCTTCAATTGACTGTATCGACAGCAGTTTATCCTAACTTCCCAATGTCTTTTATGATTATTCGGGAGTATTCACATTTTCTCTGTGGACAGAAAAGATACCAGTATCGCATCAAATGCAACGAACAAACAAGTAGCACACAGCCGGCGGTTCAGACCTTACTGGGGCTTTACCTCAGTGTAACAAAAGGCCCTTCCCAATAATGAGCTTGGTGAGATGAGTGGATCTTTTCGGCAGGTATTTTCAAGGTATCACCTGCTGACTTCATATGTGACTGTGAATAATAGTAGACAGTTTTTGCTTGAGGACACCAGTTTCAAACCAAAGCTTTTGCATGGCTGACGGCAGATAATCGCGTTCAAGTTATTGAAAACGTTCGGTATTCGACAAAAGGGAGGGGAACATGGAAGACTCCATGCTGAAAATCAAAAGCTACTAAACGATTGCATGTGCTGAAGGGCTTGTACAGTTTTATTTCCGTTTTCCATATGTCCTGTTTGAGGCGGTCAATGTAGGTGTCACTCGTGGTATACAGTAGAATCACTCGTGTAAGGGTGTTTTCGTGGCCGTAATTTTCTCCGTTTGGCTCCACTCTAACGACTTGAGGAATGTTGGAACTGTCATTTAGAACAGAGTGATAATAAGACGGGTAGCCTTTGTTCGGCCTGTAGGTTGTCCTTCTATAAAGTGCTGTTTCGTGTATTCTTTTTTATGCATTCGGCTGGTGGGGATTAAGCCATAAAGGCGACTGTTTTACCTTAAGAATTCCATTGACAGACAATGTTGACTCGGGTCGAGATCGCTCGGTGGTGAGAGCGCGAATTTACCAACTGGAAGGCTCGTGTTTCGAGCGCGACCTTTGCATCTCGACTTCTGGTATTTACCAGCCCTCTTCCCTCTTCCGGATGGCGTGGCAGCTAGCCATGGAAAGGGTGCTACAGCGGAACAGTAATATCTTTTCTTATTTGGTCTGAGTCTCCAGGGTGGAGAAAACCTTCTAACTGAGTAGCTTCTCATTCGATTGTTGCTACTTGGTCACGATCTGAATATTGCTAAATGGTTCCCACTCAGAAGGTGGCTGGGATGAAAAGGATAATCTTATAATGCGTGTCAGCTATGTTGGATTGATAACTGTTGGCGGCATCTTTTCTGATTTTCGCGCTCCGTCATCTGTCTGACTATGTTTCATGGTATATTTCCCTGGCAGTTTTTGGTATGAAGTTTCTATTAAGCCAATCAAACATTCTTTGCCTCTATGTCCAGCTGGTAGAAGTTATCACAAGACAATATGAGTTATCGTTTTTCTGGTTATATTCTCCGAATCATACTTATTTTGAGGGAAATTTTATAGGTTTTACCAAAAACAGATCTGTTGTTCAGGACTCCCTACGGGGGAGCACTTTAAAAATGGTGGCTATTGATGCAGTCGGCAAGAAATTAATGAAATGAGAAGTAAACTGCGCCACAGAGTACAAATAATGTGTTTTTAAATGAACTATGTTGCCTTTTTACATTTCAGCTGCGTACGAAACAATGACCGGTCCAAAGTAAACCATCCTGATATAAAAATTGTGAAAGGCCACAATCGTCCATAAGTTCAGTTACCACAGGATGGGGCTAGGTAAGTGAAGTTTCGCCCGTAAACTTTCACATATCTTGCAGAAGAAGATCTGCGTCCAGCAGCCTCGGAAATGTTCCGTATGTTACAGTCTCTATTTATATAGTACGGTCGTTTATAGCTAATGAGGATCTGACCAGCCAAACAAAGAATTACAAATCACTTTCCCATGGTAAGCCTCTAGTATCACATTCACGCTTTTGGTTATCAGAACACAGCTTAGAGGACGAATCAGGTATGTACGATCGGTGAGCAAAGCTTATGCAAATATCATCTTGTTAAGCAGCAGCCAATCTTGGAAATCAAGCACAAACTGGAGGTAAGTGAGTTGTAATCAACTAACATGAAATACAGACGCTTACGGAGGAAAGTATATCAGAGATGATGAAGAACAGTTCTATGCAAAACTGTGGGTGGAAGAGCCGACAGACCTTACACTCTACCCCGTTTGGTCTTTTGGTTTCAACCACCGAGTTTCGTTAATTAACCTGAGCCGAGGTGCCTCCAGCGTAGTATGTTACGCATCTTCACATCTGGTCATTATTGCTGACCTGAAAAATACACGACAACGGATACTCCGGGGGCATGTAACTTGCATCGTGTGTCTAACTTTGTATTGCATTTCAGTGCAATGAAATTACTTCTCTAACCAGTAGTGCAGACACACGGTGGTTGGCGTCAGGAGACCGTGGGCCCGACAATTCCATAATCATTTGGGATGGAAAGACTGGCAATGCTGTGAGGACTATGCTGTCTCCGCATAAGATGGGTGTCGTTGCTATTCAGCTAACTGAAGACGCTCGCTACCTTGCAACACTTAGCGCAGACATGCCTATTCAGGAATTCTCTATTTGGAATTGGACTACTGGTAGTGATAAACCACTTTGCAATGTCTTCTTGCATGATAATCATAACAATCAGAACCGTATATCCTTTAAACCGGGCAGCTACTTTCATGTAATTACAAACAGTGAACAGCAAGTTATATTCTACAACTGGGTAAGTGTCCTCTAAATTGATCCTAGGTTAATCACTAACTAAACAGAACACCAGAGGAGAGATAACGGCCTACGCTCCTCCGCTCTCGGACGAAGATTTCAACAAAAAGATTGGGAGTTTCGTGGGGTCCTGCTCTATACCCGGAACAAACACAGTTGTCACGGCAACCACCCAAGGGCTTTTGGTGGTCTGGGAGTTGGACAAGGTAGAAAGAAAAAGTAAGTAACCTATTTGTGACAAAATTTCTCACGTCTGGTGTGTCCTTCATTGTAAACCGCTCGTTTAGAGTTCAGTAGCAGTAGTGGTTAGGTCATATTATCAGACGACCCATTTGGTGGATGGTTAAAATGGTCACAGGATACGTCTCATAAAGGATGAGAAATTAGTGGATTAAATGTTACCGATTATCAGTCCAGTGACTCCCTTAAAGCAAAACGTCTGTAAAAGCCAGTTATCTCTACTGATGGGTTTTTTCATTCAAACGGTAATTCCATTTGAAAACAGAGAAATAGCACGATATGTTTTCTGAACTACCAACTACGAATTAAGATACGTCATTTCTTGCCCCGGAAAGGCAGTATATTCAAATACAAGTCATAGGCATGCTCAATGCAACAAAAAACACGGAAGATTTACGAGACCTAACTATATAACAATATCCTTTACATGAGAATTCGGCGAAGAAAATAAGCAAACAGTGCGGTCAGGAGAGAAAACACATCCATTAACAGATTGACGGAAAGGGTTGATAATTCCAGGAGCACAAAAAATAGCAACAAACCTCCGTAAAACTTTATTGAATGTGGCTTATTAGATGGGCTTTCGAAACTCGCAACTGTCAAGCATGTATATCCTGTACACTTCCGTGCGTTTCGTTAGGCCGCCTTGCTTCTTTGGTAGTATATCCGAGATACGGCAAAATAAGGAGAAGAGGGAAGAATGACGTCATCTTCAAATTCCAAACTAGGGTGGATTTGAGGCTGGTGATGTGACAGAGTGATGTGGTCTGCAGAGACACGGTTAGGAGAGGTAATGGGTGGTAATGAAAAGGAAGGATTATGCCAAAAAAATATTTGGGGGATCCAGCAATGGTGCTTCTAATCTGGGAGACAATGTCATTAGCTCATGCTTTACTTAATCAATTTAACTTAATTAATTCAATTATTGCAAACTGTTATTGATTTGGATGGAGTTCGCATATAGACAGCTTGGCAGCAGGGTCCATTTGCAAAAATCTGATATAGCTAAGAAAACCATGGTCGTCTTCGTAAGTGTCGTAAGTTGTTGACTCAAATCAGCCCTGCCGTCAACATTATCTGGTTGCTTGGCGGAAAACCATCTAACAGTTTTAGACTAAATGAGGCTGTAAAGATGAGCCAGTATTTGTTAGGGTTAAAGGAGTCTCATTTGAAGGTTCGATAGAGAAATGAAAGTTTCCATCCTGGAGAAAGTACGCCACTAAATGAGGATGGATATCTGTGTTCTAAAACGACAGGGATGCGGTGACATAACAAGATAGGAAGCATGCCTTATAGATTGTATGAACTGAAAATGATGAACTATGACTATAAACATGGGACAACTCTGGTGGTTTATATGAGGTAAAGGCAAGTCATTTGGAGAGGCTGAGAAGCTTATACTAGGTTAACAAAAGGCGAGGAATTGAAGACAAAAATTCTGAGCATAAAGTTTGTCTTCTGACCCAAAGGATTTAGGATTTTTAGATTAATTAAGTGTGGTAAAAACGAAGAAGAAAACAAATGACTGTTTTTGTCACACTCTCAAAAGATGGCCTTCCGGTTGCTGGTGTCGGAAATTAACCAATGCTCTGTGCAATCGATTTATTTCTAACTGCGCCAGCACTGAGGTCTGTATTTGTTGATGAGCGAATACGCATGCGTGAGCACCTGCACAATCTGTTTTTTCTTTATAATCCGCGGGAGGACGTGGTTATACGATCTGGCGAATAGTCACTTTTGTGACTTAACAAAATGGATAGGTTAGCTCGTGCCCTAACGTAGGACACTAGTTAGAGAAAGATAAAAAAAACCTCACGTATGTCTGGTACCATCCAAGTCATCTAGGAACACTACCGTGATACGACACTGGAAGTAAATTATGTAAGTGGGCAACATCCATAAGTATGTGATTTGAGGGTTTGGGGGACAGGATAAGTTGCAGCGTAATCTGATGGTCAGGAGAATGAACATTTGCCGAACTTGGTATGAAGTGCAAACTAGAAGTGTAAAAGTTGTTGACATCGAGAAATTCGAACTCTCGGTCGCTGTTATCCACGTGGGGAGGAAACAAGAGCCAATCGGTAACATCTTCAAGAATACAATCTTCTGTAGCTGGGTTGGACAAAAATCCCCATTCAGGTAGATGTCCAGAAGGAAGAAAAAGAACAGATGTCACCACCATTCTATGTCTGACAGACACAAGAAAAATATTCGTCACAGCTGCTTGGTGGTTGAAAACGAGGGGTCCGAAGAAGAATGCTGTGATTCAGGTAGGGAATTATTTGTGTAGGCGCAAACGTCACCCCTAAATCGGAAACAACTGAAATGCACATAGAAAATTGCAGGTCGGTGAAACTACTAGGTCTAGTGATCAGTTTTAGTGAAATATAAGAGAATCAGATATGTAGAAGGACCGGTGGGCCGCTTTATTAATACAATTTAGACCACGGATGTCGTACGGTGCGAGTTTGACATCACACTGCATTTCGTGTCCGAAAGTTTACTTGGTGAGCCAAATTTCAACATCCTAACTTGGAATCTTGGAGTGGCGGGGCCTCCTCGGATGTGGAATACTGGTAAACTGTATCTTTCAATAAATGGATGGTTATGACAATATCAGGTGAACAGAAAATATATAACAAGGATTGCAAGGAAACCCAGGTGGGAGAGGCGAGAAAGTAACTGAGTGTTTCGGAACACCGAACACGCACGCTTTCCGCCCCGAAATCCCTCTTAATTCCAAAAGCCGAAAATCACAGCCTTTGGTCTGCACGCACTGATTGAAAGCCACAATGTTTCACCTGACCAAGCTCAGCCAACTCACACAGGCCTAACAAGACATGCCGAATAATGCGGATTCGAAACGTCTGTCTGTTCTTATTCCCTATGTGGTAAGGGATCATAGACACCAAACAATACCGCGACTAGCTACCCTAAACTTCAACCCACATACGTGACTGCCGTCTTGATCATTTGAAAGGCCTACAGTGGGTTGATGGACACAAGCCAGCTTTTTCCTTACTTCATGTTTTTGACTATCCTCCCGGCGGTATTGGTTGAAGGTTGGGTTATAACAAATCTGCTTCCCGTATGTAGGAGAGGAAATCGAATATCTCCCTTTTTCAAGGCTGGTCTCAATAGACCGCGGATGATTCTTCCCAGACAGCTTCGACTTTGTAACACTGCACTTAGCAATGTTCCTCCAGATGCTTTCTTCTATTCATGCCTTGAACGTTTAATTTTTGTGCTTTCAGAAGACGAACCAGACTCGCCTTACAAGAAGGCAATTAAACTCATCCAGATACATGACAAACCCATAACGTTTATAACTGTAACCAGGTGGTAAGTTCCGTCGGAATTTGTTTAACCAGAAGGACCAGTTGTGCATTCTCCCAACTACTTTTGAAGCAATCTCATGTTATTTCATCCCACTTGTAAGAGAAGCTTCAATAAAACATGGCTATAAACAGGCGGTGATATTACCTATGCTAGTGTAATATAGTTAGTAAGAATGATTCCGAGCAGTTAACACATATCACCCGATGAATTGAGGAAATTTAACAATAGTAAACCTCTGTTTATTGCCGTCAGTGAGTGCCCGACGAACGTTTGGTGATCAAAAGATTGTACAGATGTGCAGAGCGTAGTATTATTCCGCTCAGTAGATTAGATCCATCACATCATACCTTCTCAAACGGTGCACTTTGTTCACAACCACATAAGCGTGTGGTAACTGTTTGCTGCCACATGTAGAAGAGTCTCCGTCACTGAACTGAGTTGCTGTTTCCGGCTTACATCAGCAACCTATTTGATACATCAGACATCTATTTGGAAAAGCTGAGACAGATACCTTTATTTCGCCATAGCGATGGAAATAACGCAAGCTTCTCATAAAATGCGTGATCAACCCCAGTCTGCTAACTTCATATCTACATAAGGCATTTTGTTTAGATTCGCACAGTACGTGGGCTTACGAAGAATCGGACCAAGATCCAAAGCCATTCGCTCAAATGACTCTAGGTCGTTTGACCATATGGCTCAAATGTGTTTTCGTCCGAATGTGTCATCATCTTTGTGGACTCAGTTAATATATATTATCTTTGTAGTCCCAAATGGTAGCTTGTTAATAACAACTCATTCTTGGAGCGAATTATCCCTTTTTAGATGTCGATGCTGACAGCAACGGTGGTTACATCTCGTTAATAGAGTGCATACGGATAGTTCGTTCCTGAGATAAAATGGTTCTGTGCGCCAGGGAAAGACAATGCGAACGAAAAAAATTATACTGCTTGAAAAGATTCTTCCGACTGCCCTGACTTAGTGAAGGCTACTAAGTTTTCCGTCGAGCGCACATCTCCGGACTATCCGATATCCTTATTGCCAGAATATTCTGAATTGTAATAAAAAACTGTATACTTCTCCGCAAATGATGAAGGTGACATTTGACTGTTGACTGTTATGGTAAGCACACTAAAGACCAAATGAACCTGACTAAGAGACAATAATGAAACAGCATGCTTGCGAATGACACAACACCAAACGAAATCGAAGCGATCAAGTCGTTCAGTTATCAACTCATTTGTCATGACAAGCAAGAAGGAAACGAAATGTTCAGTTATTGGAAAATTCAATATTCTGACAAGAGATTTCATCTGAAGGAGACCATCATTGTTGCAACCGAATGACCGGATCCGATTACAAATGAGGCAGATTATATTCCTATGTGGCAAATTTAAGCGCCTCCAGGAAGAGATACCGGATTTATTTAAACAAAATAACTATATTCTGCTATACCGGTGCTCGCTAAATTCCTTCCGATCATCTAAGCAACTTATGTTATGGCAAACTACCCTTAAACTACACAGGATTTAGTGATGGTTCGCAGTTTGTTTTAGTTTAGATGCCAACCAGCCGCGAACAAGTACTGTCCAGTGGGGTTTGGTATGATTTACCTCCAAGTATGAGATGAAGTATAGGATGGGGGACGCTGATGTCTTTACTACAGCACAGTGAATAACTTGAGATGGCTTCCTTTTTCATAAGATGAGGTCTCCTCAGTAAAACATCTCGGAAAGACTAAGAACCTACCAGTCATGTTATTTCAGAAACGTTTAATTGTCTATTTTGTTTTGGCACACCTCCAATCAACCTTCTTTCTGCCTTGTAACAGTCAATTAATCAACTACTCCATTGCAACTGGAGATGCAGCAGGGACGATCAAATTTTTCGACACAAATTACAGGATTCTTTTCTGGTATGACAATCTGAACTCCGGACCTATTGCTTCCATTAGTTTTGCTCAGAGAGGAATCTTTGATGGGTAAGTGATAATTCTGTCATTTTGTCCCAAATGCAAGTAGGAATAATGGTCTATGTCTAGAAAACACACTGAAAATAACCTGCGCATTTTTCTTCCTCTTCGGTAATATCAGTATTCAGATGGACTCATTGGACAGCCACATAGGGCTAGATGGCTGTACCGTATGAATGTGCAATAAATGATGTCCATTCCTCGCGAAACACACCCATTTGCACTCAACTGAATCCCACTTAACTATATCATCGTGGGCTACTGGAAGTCTTCAGCAATCTCAGGAACAGTTTATTTTAACAGGTTCATTCTTTAACACTTGTCTACGCTGTGAGTACATTGTGCGGAGTGTACCAGATTAGTCGCAACAAATTCTCACCCAGTTAAAGTGACGGCAGCAGGGAATTATTTTGGGTGCCGTTGGTTTTTAACCAACTCAACGAATTCGAGATTCTTATTTGTGAAATTTAGTATTCCGGATCATTATACAGACAAGTGAATACTCTGAGATGTCTCAGACCACAGCTACTTCGGTCCAATAACCTGATTATGCAGGTAGCTACCCTCAAAAGAACTATAGTGCCATGTTGATCCTTTCACTCGAACTGCAGCCAGCTGGTCACACAAGTAATTATTTATTCAAAATAAAACCTAGTTTTTCATTACTAATCTATGCACCTCATTTTCCTACCAAAGATCGGGGTCTTGCGACTGGAGGTAAGAAATTTGGTTACCTTTCGACCTTTGACTGACATCATCTGTTCCGTTACGTGTCAGTGACACACGGTTTACGTCATTGCTAGTTTTCTTACCACATTTAATGTTTACAGTGTAAAACGTGAAGATGTCTGAATTCTTCGCCTGTTTTATTTGACTAACTATTCAATGATTTTGAGCTCCATATTAGGTTCTGCCTGACTATTTGCAGGCAAGATAAAAGCGGCAACGCTCAGATTGAATAACTGAAGGAAGAGTAATGAATTTCTACCCATGCAAACTGATCTCCCTTTACAAATATCCTGTGAACACAAATCACCTGATTTTGTGCCTCGATGATGAAAAACGAGTGGTGTTAAGTAGGTCAGGTTTAGGTTCACTAAATCGCTTTACTGTTAGCGACAAAAGTCGGCGAATTAAACCGATTTCTGTCCTTATCTGTGATGCTTCTAAGATGCATTTTTTCATTCACATAGGTTAGTAATTAACTTCCTCGAATTTTCTCTGTTTAGCTCAGGTGCATCATTTTTGTCAGTGTCATCTTCACGTCATCACTTAGATCATGGATAAACATAGGCACATTCTGCTATCCAGTAATGACTTACTCAGCAAACGCTGACTGCATAACAGTAATTAAAACTAGTCTAGAAAAGACCCGCTGGGAACCTCTTACAAATTTTCTCTGATACATAAACTCCAATATTTGAGGCATGGTATGATAGCAAGATCCTACATATTGCAACCCTACTGTCATATACAAACAGCATCACGTTAACCATACACAAAATGTATGAGGCACCGAGAGTACTTGTACTAGGAGTAATGTCGCTTATGTTCTTCTTCAGGGCAGATCTGTCTTTTCATCAAATTCTGACACGGGCAATTGTGTGAAACTGTAATGTTCATTACAGTTACGGAAAGCACCAGATGAACGTATGCGTTACCTTGATGCTTCCATGGAAAGTGAGCGACTAAACAGTGTAATATCATAGCAATTGAGTGAACGCTTTGTCACCTAAAATGAGTCCTTTGCGCCTAGAATTTCTCGGGACTGAATACAACCGAGCCTGAGCTTGTGCATTCGTTATCGTAGCGAATTGTCCTATTCCGCTTTACTCCCACTCCATAAAATATGTCGACCGTTCAACTTCTCCGTCACGAGGAGAGTGGATCTTACCGTGGTGTGACAGTTTGCGCACCTCGTAGATCCATTGAGCTATGCTCCGGGGTGGCCCTGCGACACCCACAGGGTCTCTCATACCAGGTTGGTCAATGGTTAGTGGTCTGACAAACACAGTCTCCTGGTCCTCCAGGTTGGGGGTTGGAACATATGTCGACTTGTTCTATAGAAATGGCAATGCATTTGCATTTCCCGCCAAACACCGCTACCTGGTGGTTAGACTTTTGAGCCAAAGACTTCGGCTGAGGACCCTAATCGTCTTCCCGTCCAGGTGTGGGCTTCCTGGCAGTACCCTGGCCCACGCACAACCATGAGCTGCACACATACAAACAAAGTCATGCGACATCGGCCGTCGCGTGATTTCATCAGCTGGGTCGCCTTACTTGTTGCATACGGCATGGCGAGTATGCGAAAATTCTGACGCCTCTCTTCATTCTCTTTCACATACGTTTTCTTTCTTCCATCCCACCTCATCCCACCCCATCAACAACTCTCTCCTTTTACGCCCAGCAATTAGGACTGATGACTCTGTTCGTCATGCATCGGTTTTGCATACATCTGCTCGTCACAAGGCGATGACATCCTCAGGTATCTCGAAATCAATCTCTAAGCCTTCAATGCCCGCACTCCGAAGCAAGTAGGACTACAAGCTGCTGTTGCTCTCATACTGGACTTGCTTGACGTTGGGCTGTACTGTGAATTAGAAACAAGAATTCAAGATGTAAGCACATTGGTTGAGCTAACCGCCCCATCAGACTCCACTCGCTTCCGGTTACGCACCCCTGGCGATCCAGAGACTGCTGCGGTGGGACGTGCAGGGGTTGGTATCGTCCTAAGTCACCGGGCGGAAGTATCCTTGCATGATTGGATACCTGTCCATAGTCGTCCCTGTGCGGTTCGTCTGGCAACGTCTGTGGAGGGTATCACAAGCAGGAAGCTAATCGCCTGTCGTGTCCGCTTACGCCCCAACTGACTGTAGCTCCGACGCCATCAAAGACAGATTTTACAACGCCCTGAATGACCTGCTTCGGCGAGCCAAAAGACATCGTGGTGGTTGCCTGAGATTTGAATGCACAAGCGGGAAGGCTTAGCGTATCTGAGATTCGATTGGGGGGTTGACATGGATAGGATTCAATAAGTACGGACAAAAGGGAACGATTGCTTCTGCGGTGTGCTGATCGCAGGCTGTTTTTATGCAGCATTAACTTCTGGAATAACTGGAGTCGTCTGGCCGCATAGTGTCTTCGAGAGACATACCGGCCACCAACTCAAATCAATCACGTTGCCATTAGCTACCGATGGTTTGGATCAGTAACTGACTGCCGGTCGTTTTGAATCACGTTTATGGATTCTGACCACGCACTCGTCCGGACTCGCTTCTCCCTACGTTTCCCTGAGCCACGTAAGGTGCGGACAAATCGCTGGACTACTGAGAGACTGGCAGGTCCGGCTGTTAGACGAATTTACCAGAATCGTCTTCTAGAGTCTCTTCCAAGTGCTCCCCCGTCAAATGTGATCGCATACGGGGACGAGATTGCCACCTGTGAGTATAGTGCTGGAAATTTCGCCTGTGGCACGGCACCACCAGGCGCGCGCAAGCACTGGATATCAAACCGAGTGGTGGCACTGCTTAAATCTCGGAGAAATATCGCAGCCGGTCCCGAATATAGCCTGGTGCGAGAATTATCAGACATCAAGTGAAAGTGAGCTTGCGAGCCGATCGTGAATTATAGTGGACGCAGAAGACCAAAGAAATGGAAGAGGCTCAGAATGCCGGTGATGCCCTAAGATTATTTCAGTTGTTCCGTGCGATCGGTCCCGGGAAACCACCTATGAGCGAAACCACCAAGCATCAGGATAGAATGATCATCATCATGATGATAGTGTCCATTTCCAGAAAAAGGGCGCTCGTACCGAGTATGGTAACCACAGGGGGATCAGCTTCCTAGTTTGAGATATCTGTGTTGTCAGAGTGGTGAGTCCCTGAATCTCGAAGAACGTGTATATCAAGCTACGGTACGGGCTGTCTTGTTGTATGGCTGTGAGATTTGGCCTGTTATAGGGGCGGAAGTGATATGTCTTCAGGTGTTCGACAACCGTTGTCTCTGAACCATAGCTCGCGTGAGTTAGTGTAGGCAAATCCGTAACGAGGCAATTAGGAAGCGAGTTTTCGATTGTGCAACAGGTACTTCCTTTGAAGAATGCGTCCAGCTCCAGTAACTGCATTGGTTGGGACATGGGTTTCGCATGCCGAACCATCGTTTGCCGAAGAGAATGCTGTTTTCCATGCCCAATTCAGAGTGACGTAAGCAGGGAGGTGATCAAACCTTGACTTGGTAGAGGGGTATGAAGAAGATTATGAAACGCCTGGGTGCTGTCGGTGCTACTCGCCTTCCAGGATGGGGACCGCGCGATCTTCACTGTGCCTGGTTGGAGACGCTGCACGATGTGACTGCCAACCGATGTCAGTGGCATTCTTATTGTCCGAATCTATACAGATTGTCTGAGCGAGTGTCTGGAGGTGTAAGCACCACGGAATGATTGTACTAAGCTAGCACTAAGTCCCTTCCCCGTCCACCTGTATTCTTCTTTTAAAATAAGGCTTTCAAATAAATCATGGTTGTACGGCAGTGAAGCATCGATGTTGAACACTGATGTCGTGCTCTCAGTGGTGATGATGATGATGATTATGAGTTCAGCTTCTTGGAAGTTCTATTTGGCATAGGCAGATAAAGCTCCTAACAGTTTCCATCACGAGTCATTTTGTTACTAGAGAAGAACGGTAAAGTACTGTTTTCATCTCGTCACTTGTTTTGTTTGCTCGGTAATTTTCTATGAATGCCCGGACAAAAATGCGCTTTCTACCAAGCTTCAGAATCAGCGTTCACAAATTACGAGTTGACAGATCAATAAAATTTTCCAAGTGGACAGTTCCCTGAAATATAAGTAGCTCGAATGCGCAAACTGGTTGATGGCCTTTCGGACTTGTTCGACAGCTCTGTTGCCTTGGAAATCATACAGGTAAGAATGAATAAGTATATGAATCCCCACGCGCTTCCATATCGAGCATCCGTTTGAGATTTCCACTGGTATAACAGTGCGCCATGCATCATTTTGGTTACCACAGCCACGTTGGGAGTGAATGTCTCAAGATCAATCACGATCTTACTGAGTCTCTACAACCGGACTCAGCTGATTTTTCGGCTCAAGTATGCAGAACAGTGACCCGAATTCTTCTGGTCTGGCAGTTTAGGAACCGGTGTGCGATGTATTTCATGGCGCGTTAAACTACTTACTTTACCTCTGCATATTTCACTACACTAACTATTGAAATCTCAGCCTTCCTGAGCACTCAAATACTGTGAATCTGAAAATAAGCTAATTTCAATCAGTCCTGCTATTAAAATCGGTGGATACAAAATAATCCAAAGTTAGACAACTGTTTCTAGGTATACGTCAGGATTCATCCAACAGGTTGCTTGTCTTTCCATCTTGTTAGGCGGATCGCAGTATTGAAGTTTCTGGCTTACCAAATAATGAGTGCGTGAAGTAGGTATTTGAAAATGAACGGCGTCAGAAGCAACAGTCAGTAAGACCATTTCACATTTAACTGAGTTTAAAGACAAGTTTGTCATTTGTAAACTGTATTTGGCGTCTGCTTAAATCATCAAGGATTATTTTTGGGGTATAATTATCTCAATTATCTATTATCTAGATCTTCGAAATTATTGGACTCCAGTGAATATCCACAGCGGGCAACGATTGCTGGTGAGAGATTTGTGGTTGAAGATTTCATGGTCACGACGCAGCATGGAGCAATGATTAGCGTGACTGTTGATGGGAGCTTCTTAAAGGTTCGTATTAAGGCCAGACGTTTAATTTCACGAAGGTAATACGCACTTTTCCAACGAGCTACTAGAATTCCCCGGGTAATTATTTAACAATTTTTAGTAACAAGTTTAGTGACAACGATGCGGATCGAGCTTTGAACTCCCGGTCCAAAACGATTCTCTTGCGGTCGCTGTAGAATAGCTTCACATTTCAGCTCTAAGCCCAGCGTATAGCTAATAATTCCTCAGAGAAGAAAAACGAACAACCGTCTCCTAGGGTGTCATTTAAATCTGTTATTTTAGCCCGGAAGAAGGGCTTTACTGCTTACGTTTGTAATGCAGAAAACCACCCGACTGAACAGGCTTTCTTGACTACATAAAGAAGTTATCACTTTCGAGGTTGCCTCCAATGCTGCTGTGTCCTTTCGGAGTCGGATAAACGTCGAAGATGTCATTCCCTGGTGCTAATCTTAAATATTTTTGCATCGGCGAATATAAAAGTCACCAACTTTGCCACCAAAGCCCTCCAAACACACTGTTATTTTTACCTGATTTAACGTGATATGCAGGCCTACTGCCCCAGATCCGCAATATCAAACTGGTGTGTTCACTCCGGAAGAAAACGTTGTGCATTTTAAGTAACCTTTTCGAAGTTGCACAAAATGATACCATGGAAAGTGGCGGACGCATCTATCTGGATATATCTCAAAGCATAAGCCGTCTTTTTATGTGGCATCAAGGGATGTTGTAGATACTAAGTACCGACGAGGTCATTTTTTGGGAGTTTGGTCTGTTTTATTTGTTTGAGGTGTAAGGACAGAGAAACGGTACGATAATAAAAACTTTGTAACACTTTATTTTTGAAATATTCCAGTTCATCAAGCGGGAGAATCACGAAGAGGTCACCGGTCTCTCCACACATCCTTCAATGTATGTTACGTTTGAATACTTCGACTTATTCTTACCAGACATCAAGACATATTCGAAAATCGCTTTTTATGTCTAGCCTAGAGGGACACATCCAAATTGTGCACATTGTATAAGTCAGTAAGTCAAGTTGCTGATAGGGAATCCTCTAGCACACAGCATCTTATAGGACAGAATCTTAGTAATCTACTTAGATAAGAACAAAATTAAAACCGAGTAGTGATTGCTGTTGACGTTAACTCCATGATTCTTTGAATAAAGCTTTTCTTTTGCTATTGTAGGCCCCACCTGGCAACATGCAGTTTAACAGGGCTACTGAAAGTTTTTGACTACAAAGCGAAGTGAGTTGTGCCTTCCCTATTCACGTGCTCATTGTGTTCCGATGGAAACGTCTCGAGTATCCAAAATCCCTTCAACCGAAGGTCCAGAATTTGTAACAAAACAAACTAGTAAAAATTACCAAAAAATCGAGTACTCTAGTTACATTTGCTTGTTTGTTCGCCTTATCCAAGGTTATCTAGTGATACTATGCTGACCGGTCTGCAAAAATACACCTGTATGGGCTACGCAAACTGTTACATCATATAAAGATGAGACCAGAAGATCCTCAGAAACCTCAACCACCCAAGCCAGCTGACACTTGAAAATTTGTCAAAAGCCTCGTTTTTATAAATCAGTGTTATACCACGTATAGGAATAAGATTTTATAAGTATTGCTTGACGATGCTTGCGTCCCACGAAAGTTTACCTGTGGTATTGATAGATTGACAAGATTGCCTGAGACGTGAAGAGAGTTCATCATTACTTTCCACAACCTGAAATAGGAAAGTTCAAAATCCTCAGAAAAGATGGTAGAAAGTTAAACAACTCAAATGAGTGTCGTTTGGGTGTGTTGTCTTGTTTATTCCCTGGTGATTACCTAGTTCTATAGGCTCTGTACCGCGTCGAACGTTTGACTGAGATATACGTGTTCGGCTCGCTGATCTTTGACTGATGGCAATAGTTGAAACTCTTGTATTCTATTAGTTTAAAAAAAGTGAGTGAAGGACAAAACAAACTGTATGAAGCAGTTTCCCATAAACCCCCAGCTTCAAGCAATCATAGCGCAGTAAGCCCTTGTACGATGTGCTTTGTTTTCACTATTCAAAGTATAGAGACTATGGTGGTTTTGAACAAACTCCGTTAACATGTGGATGATTTTTTGTATTTTTCATAATATTCTAAGGCAGTTTAAACTCAGCCGTGTTGAAATGATTACAAGAAAATGCTGTTCTTGTAGTAGGTTCTTAAAGGTGATTTTAAGCACACGAGTAAGTGCGGTTTCTCTGGAAACTGTAGCCGGTCGTTGTAACAGGGAAAAGATTATAGGTTTACAGTGATATCAGTTGAGCACATCTTCAGGTTCCCTTACAGCATAACAGATCAGATGAATGACATCACTCCACCCACCCTCTTCAGACTGAGACCACTTGTTTGATGCTCTGTCAGATCAGGCTTTAGAGTTCTGACTGCGCTTTCATCTACTTCGTCCAAGAAGAAATAATGGGACATTTATCAAAGACACTATTCATCTAAAGGATTAAGGGGCCATTTGTATGTTAAATAGATTGTTGTCCTCCGGTCCCCCTGGGCAATGTTTATCATGACCCCACCATTATTCTCCGATTGCAGCATTTTCTGTGGGAGGCAAAAATACTCGAAACCTATTTAGACGTATACCAAAAATTGAAAAAATGTATTTAAAAAATGCAGAACTTTGATGAGTTACAAAAACATCAAGTGGTTTTTCAAACCCTGATTTTTGAAACCACGACGTACTGATCCACTTAAATCTGTTTCCAACTGTTCAAACAGTAAAGGTCATCATCTATTCATTTTCCCGCAAGGTGCGTATTGGATGATAATAAATTATTCTGAAAAGGGCGGGGTTTTGACAATATGCATCCTAGACTGGTAAAAAAATTCTTCCAATTATCACGATGAATGCAGGGTAGTGAACCGAACATACCTGTAGCTTTAGGTTGTGTTCACATAAGACTTGTAAATACCCACTAATTATATCCAACTTGTTTTTAGTTAATCCCGTTTACTAACAGTGAGGATAGCGACCACTTTCGGTTGATATATCTGCGCCAAAATGGCGCATCTGATAGCCAACATACCTGAAGGTCAGTAAGAAAAAATGTCCCATGGAATCCGAGATATCGAGGTTACAAAAACAACCTCAGTTACTGCTTTCCGCAATACTGTTTACTCGTGCCATACCCAATCAAGCTTATAATATGTCCACCCTGAAATGTGATGTCTTGCTCATTCCTGCATAAGCTTAGATTCCGAATGAATTTGTTTTACTACCCGAGGTACATTTTTGTTCAACCTAATTTGTTCACAACCATTTCTGATGCCTGTGCTTCTCTTCTGTCAGAAGTTACAAGACACGTATCTCTTTCAGGGTCCTTAAATTTGCTTCGTCTAAGTCAGTCATATACATTCAACACAGAAATACATCAGTTCACACATCCTATTGTCGTGAAATACGACTCACCAACTATCTGATTGTTTTCCCTTCACAGAAAGGTCATTAGGATGAAAAGCTATGGCCCCGATGATCCAATTCAGACTTGTTGTTACAACGCAAATGGAATGAATTTAGGTAAGCCATTATTTAATACTCAGCGCACTTGATCGTTCTATATCCTGTTTCATGTCTCCAGAGTCGAATTATTTTCACTGTGCCTAGACACCTCAGTTAGAGAATGCAGATTTGTGTGCTGCATATTCTCAATTCATAGATGTTGTAATAAACAAATTTTCCGTAAGGTTGCTGTTCCGTCCTCGACAAACAGAAATTAGATTCACCTGTATTTGTTCTGTCCTGGTTACTAGTACAGTACATAAGTAATCAGAACAACTGCTGACGCGACACTGTAAGTTAAGTACGGATGAATTTTGTAGTTTTAGGAAGCTTAGATATAATATTTGGTGTTAATGAGGTGAGAAGTCGCGCCAAATTCATGACACTCACGAGGATTAGGCTACGAAGAACTCAGTTACGAGTAAATTCAACATAATTCAACTGTAACTCAATTATCAATTCATTTATATTGTTATTATTTGGACGTTAGTCATGACCGTAGTTTTTTTTAAGTTACAAAGCAGCGCTTGTTAAAACTAAAATACACATCTCTCCTTTCGGTAGACGGTTCTATAAGGAGGGAAAACTGTGAATACATGAGTAATAGATGTTCACTGAAACTTGTGGTGTTTCGTCATACACGTTTTCACAGACTAGGTTTTTAAACGGAGAATTAATCGATGATTAAGTCATCTTATTTGGTTCGCTGATTTCTATTAATGTTTCTCCAAACTGTGAGATTCGCCGAGTTATATCCCTTATAACTGACCACTCTATGGTGGAAGAATGTTCCTAAATGTGGCAAATCTGTCTGTCGTGATCTGCGATCACAGGGAAAAAAGTAACGTAGCTTCAAGAGATTACACATCCCAACTATGATTCAAGGGGTTGGAGTAGGAAGTGGAAGAAAGCGCTTTTTGATCTATAATATAGCAGATTGTGGAATTTTGTTTCATTGGATCCTTGAAGGAGAAACCAAAGGTGAATTAATATCTACCGAAGTGCTCCACCACCAGACTTAGGAAAATGCTCACTCAAGGTTCACCAAATATTTCGTTGAATGACCATTTTGTAGTCTTAATCGGAATATTAGGAACTAGAATATTTCGAATATCCCTTGATTTCCTTTCTTCTCTAATGTAGCCGTTGGATTTGTCAGTGGTCATCTACGTATTTTGGACTCAATTACTCTGAATGATGTTACTCCGGAACCGTTCACTTATGGCCGTGGTGCTATTACTCATGTGGATTTCGATCCATTCAATCAATACTGTGCATATGCAGTAAGTAGGTCCCGAGACTTTAGACATCCTTTAAATCCCTCTCTTTATTCTAAGCTATAATGATGATACACGGCTATTTCTTGCACATATTTCCAATGCATTTAGTTATAATGAAATGTAAGGATACATTTCGACCGTCAGACACAAATGTTTTAGTAGTCGAGAAATAATAGGTGAATGACGTCAATTGAATCGGAAGGTCGCGTGTTGAGAAATCAACATACCATACCTTGATGTGTGGCTACTGCTTGGACAGGAAGAATAGCGTCTTTGTGTAATGCTGCTAAATGCTTGCCGTTTGCTTTTTGGTTCAGACGACAGCAGCTTCTACTGAACCAAACATCCGAATTCTCGCCAGCAAAAGTAGGCTTCGGAAAACTTCTAGGTCTCTAATAAGATACCGTTTGTGTCCACATTGTACAATTTATGCAGTAGGCGAGCCTAAAGTCGGCTGTGGTTTTACCTCTTGCAATCCAGGATTAACTGTGTTTGGGCACTGGTCTAGAAGCGGTTCTGTCTTCTGTTGGTGTATTGGGCTTAATAGAAGTAAGCCTTACGAGGTGTTAATTCATATACCTGTTGTCTGAGCCTAGGGTAGCCTTTTTTATCAATAGTTATTAGCGACTTCTTATGTGTGGACTGATAGATTTATTCTGAGCCTCATACGTGGATATGGGTGCCACGTCCATATGCTGAAACCGATTCTTTCACTCAAGCTTAATAAACAGTTTTTACCATGCCATATCTCGTACACTTTTGCCTCCTAAAAAGACCATTGCCGATATTGCACTCAAAAAAGCTAAATCTAATTTGTCAACTTAAAATTTGGCCTAACAAATTATTATTCAAAGCCTACTGGTCTAAAATGATTCTCACATTTTGAACATTTTGATTTTGTTCACTGAAAAATATCAATAGGTATAAAAGCACAAAACTCCAAAACACCGAGATTTATAAATCACTGGCGTTTACACCGAAGGGGGAAGCACAAGACCGACGTTGTTCCATTATGACAGCTTAACAACAATGCGTATGATGGTTGTGTCGTTATTTGAACATCAGATACCTGAAATAGTTTCAACACGCCCTCCTCGGTGAACTTGATTTGGCCTGCAACAGTGACGGTAATCTAACAGTTCAATGCAGATTTTGCAAAAAAAAATGAGGAACTACATGGTTACTTAAACGCTCACTCAAGAGTTCAACGCAAATCCATTTGCGTAAAACGATTATGGTGACTGTTCATTTTTTGCAACCACTGGAGTCCTGAACACGATGAGGACGGGGAACACTACAAAACAAACGACTGACAAGATATAAACTTTCAGAAAAATGCACATTCTATGGGAACCCAGGGACTGTATGAGCTTCTCAGCTTTCAACTATTTTAATGAACACCAAAGTTCCAGCCCAGAGGATCGCTGACTACTTAATTGTGAAATTCAGACTAGTGGTCTGTATTCACTTGACTGTCTGAATACATCAGAGTCTGACTACGATCGTGAACTTGATACCATCTTTACCACTTTTATACCATGATTGATCGAGCGTAGCTGCAACAGACCTGGTAATCTATTACCATCTAGGGTTCTGAAATAAGCGGAGTAACCTAAGAGTTGTATGAGCTAGTGTTATACTTGGCACCGAAAAATTTACTGAACCTAAAACTGAGTGCTTTTTCCTCATAACAAATTAGCACATTGTTGGAGAAGGTGACTAGCTCAAGCGGTCACGATATCTGAGGTCTGTCTTTACGATGTCTTCACCAGCACAAACCTGCTATATTGAAGATAACCTGTTCCATTAAAACAAAATATCTCATTGAAATGTCGTTAGGCTGTCATCACTATATTACTTTCTAATATTGTCAACATATCATTAGAGTGTTGTTAGAAGGAACCAGACAACTTTATGGGCCCCAATGGAGATGCTGAAATTTGCGAATCCAGAAGAGATTCCTGGAAGAGAATAGCTATTCAGACAGTCCACTTATCCAGGCTCACTCAGGGGAATGCTAGGTCAATCGGAATAGGTCAAAGTTGTGTTCGAAATTCTTCCTTATTAAAACTTTATAGGCATTCACACACCAAGCAGCATCGGTAACTTTTATTCTGCTCCATAAAGTAATCAACAGGCACTCGTACTTGTTAAAAAACGTCTTGTGGCTCGGAACTACGTCCAAACGCTTAACAACTGAGGATGAAAACGTTAAATCTATAAGACAAATCTACACTTGGTTATATTTCTGTGCTTTGGTCATCAGTAAGGTCTGTTTTTTTACTCCATTTCTTCTAAGGATGCATCGTTCACTACCACGCTCGTACGTGCATCTACTGTGCTTGACACAGGCCCGTGGGCCCATGTCGGACGGATCCGTGTGCATTATCGTAAAATCACCGACCTTTTGTTCTATTCAACTCCTCGGGAAAAACAAAGTCGGCTGTTCAGCATAGGAGAAGACCGGACTTTGGTAAGTAGAGACTAGTTAAACGGTGGAAGGCATGTGCAAGATAAGTGTGAGGTAGACTTGGTATAAGCAATACACTTTGCGCTACTTTATGTTTGTAACCGGCTTCTCTTTGTTTACAAACCTCCTAAAAATTTGAGTCCCCCACAATCATCTGACGACAAGTATCATCATTTTTAAGACTGGATTTTTGCATAGACTTTGGAGGCTTGCTAAGCCCGTAAAGTCACATTTGCTTTTCTATTAACTTTTTGCTGTAAATTAGGTAATCTAGAACAAGCGCGCCAGCTCAGCATTAAGGCAATGCACAAGGAACTGTCATCGGCTCAGTTAAAGCTGTCAGCTCACGAAAGATGGGGCTCAGCACGATCGTTTCTTATACTGAAAGATACGGTAATACATTTTTCCAAGACACAGGATAGTGGATTGATGAAAATGTTGCAAACCCTTCTTCTTCCCCGGGGGTCTGTGTAAAACTGATTGCTAGTGACCTTATGGTAAACCTTCACCCGGAGTTTCTACTACTCATCATCCATCGTATGCTGCGACGCTACTACAACGCTGTATTTTCCTTATACCAGCCACCATGTACTGAGTACTATCTTTATCAAACAGAACCATAAAAATGCCTTACAATTGGGTTTGATATCTACAGTTTATTATTCACAAATAGTAGACTAAAACACAGTGCTTTCTGCCGAATGCACATTCAGCTTTCGAATGGCAATATTTCGAGCCAATATTTGTTTGCCAACACACTGTACCCTTCCTTTCAACGCCCTGTCAACTCTGAGGCCCTAAAATATCCGACATGATTCCTATGCAGTGGGCGCGTATTTGTGCTTTGTATATAGTAATCTTTCCAAGACACTGTGATTTCCTGATAAATTTGAGCAATGCACTGAGAACAACATTGTTGTGAGGCGCGTACGTTTCGCGCACACTCGTCCACAAACAATCGTGTAAAACAAAGTGAAGTTGGTTAAATGCGTACAGGTAGAACATGCTCCTGAATAAATCTTAGATTGTGTTTTCCATCAATAAACCCATGGTAGTCTCAGATCACGCTCGGCTTTTCATGGGCGGATAACACTGATATGATCAAAGGTGTTTTGGAAAATTCCAATTCACTTGGTGCCCTCAAAATTTTAATGGTCTGCAGCAACACTCAGAAATTTGATAAGAAGTAACGATACCAACCAGACCTACCAAGTAGCGTAAACCAAAGATTCCCGAGGTCTATTGGATCTGGTTAGTGCTGAAGCGTCTAAACCTAAGTAGCGACGACGTAGGTCTTATAACGTTGCTCTGGCCAACAGATACCCTACCTGTCAACAAAAGCACTTCAGAATGCGAATTTCTCCCTCCTCCATTAATGTATTTATTCTCTTGAAATCCATATGTTAGGTACAGCATTGTGCATGCAATAAGCCTTCTTAGAAAAGGTTCACCAAGTGTAACAATAAGTGCAGCTATAAGCGCTCCCTTGGCCATCGAAGGGCATAGCAACAGGCCCTCTATTGAATCTGATGGAGCTATTGTTTATTTTTGCTTATAAAGGGCTAGTGGAGTGTAGGATACAGAACCAAGTCACTGCATAGCTGGAAGAGGAAACAGCAAAAATTCTAGGCCCTTGATTGTGGGGTTATTCTGATCGGAAAGGTTGTATTAGTAAACACGGGAAATAAAGAAAGATCTCCAGTTCAGAAAGCACATTGTCGTTAGTGGTATCTTTAGCAAAGAGCAGTTTTCTGTGTCGAGGATGCAGAACTAGAAAATGCATAGGTAAAACTCGATGTGTGAAAAGTAAACCTGTATCCGCATGATAGAAGGTCACCAGAGTCAACGGGCACAAAAGAATATATATATTGTTTTGTTCACATTCACCCCTCTCTCGTTCGTACAGTCATCCTCCTGTGCTGGTTTAATTACCCTGGTGAGTATAAACAAACGGGGAGTGTACTGGACACGAGTTTCGCTCATTAGCAATGCATATCCTATGGCCTTGCTGGTATCTGACTTCCGGATATCTGTCATGTGAGGTGAGCGCTACCACTGCACCTCCAGGGCACCGCACCTGAATTTGCATATCTGAACAGGCGAACGTGTTCATACTTGAGAGATATGATCGGTTCGCCTGACGCCTCTAACCACCACCCAGTAGCTACCTCGGTTGTGACGATCGACTGACCCAGTCAGATGGCGCCACAGACTCTTGCAACCCGCCAGGATAGTTGTTGAGGTCGGGGGATATGTATTATGTGGGACTCACCAGAATAGTTACGTCTGCACAGGTAGATGACTGTTCAAACTAGAGTGACGTGAATGTGAACAATATATACCCTGCGACCCCCACAACCACATGTGGTCTATGGTGAAGTGCGGACGAGTGTCGGTCGTCAGAGAATGATTCAGTAAGGGCACAATATGGGACAGCACTGGTGCACATAAGATGTATAGAGATTTCAGGGATTTTGCGAAATAAACTTCGATTCGTGGAGCGTTGGCTGCACATGTCCTAAGGATCACTTATACTCATGAACTGAATAAGGTGAAACAAGCATAAGTTTCCACTGGGAGGGGAACTGGATTAATTGAACGGAGCTTCTGTATCAAATGTATAAATAAACCGGTCGGTACTTTACCGACGGTTTTATATACTTACTTGCCACTTCTGATCCACCGTCACAGGTGTTGCTGTTCAAAACCGAATTACAAAAGGGAGTTGCGTTTAGCTATAGAAAGCTGTACGTAGCCCGTTTCTCTCTGTCGCTCTGGTAATTTAATCATCCATTATCTCCTGGTGAAGCCAGTATTCATTACCTCCAGAGTTCATTTCATCCCTAGTCGCTCCATTTCATATCTTGTTAAAATCACATCAGCTGGTGGCTCATCATTGCTTTTCATTTTTTTCCTTTTTATTGCCTCTCCGTACTCGTCTAGGTAGAATACGACATACATGTGGCAACGAAAAATGATTTTCCGATGCTCGCGCGCTACCGAATTGAACAGATGTTCACTCCACTGTGTATGAGCAGTTTACCACCGCATCACAAAGAGAGTCTTATACTGGTATCAACAGAAGCTTCGAAACTCAAGCTTTTCAGCACTTCCTCATTCACTTTACGCAAACTGGTTGCGGCCTACCCAGCCTCAATAATGTTCCACAAGTACGTACTAATGTGACGTTGGCGTGCCCCGTTTACAAGTTACCTTCCAGCCCGAATCAGTAAAATGCATACCTGTAGTGGTCCATAATTTGTGTATGGCTCGTCAGTATGGCATGCTCTATATTTGCGAGGAGCTAAACATGGTGCTTAAGAACGTTGAATATGACTCATACATTCCTTAACGAGGTAATATTTTGCTCTGCACATCTCATGAAGATCGAGTAGTCGATTTTGTACGGAGAAACTATGCAACAGACAGAAATTATTCACTTATGTGGACGAAGCACGTACTTATATTATGTTGAACTGCTTCGCTGGGGAATATGCTGTTGATTTCCAACCACCAGAGAAGGAGAGAATAACGAATACACACTCATTTGCAAACTAAGTTGGTTTTTCGAGAGACTGACCTAGAACTCAGCTGAATCTCTCGTTTGTGATGTTCTCAGACAACTGAATGTGCTGCACCAGGCCGCCTCATGTTTCAGTCGCTACGATATTCGAGATATCATGTACCAAATTAGTTTGAAAATGAGTGTATATTCGCTGATTTCGTGCAATTTGGTCTCAAGTAGAACATAAGGTTGACGGGGACTCGGGGACTGCGCCCACCTGATGAGCTCCCTCCCCAGCCCCCCAAAAAAGGGCGAAACAGGTCGTGGGCTGTCGACGAATTTTCGGCAACCTTATGAGCAGTAAATTACGAAGAAACAGAGATTAATTTAATGTTGAAATAAACGGGAAGCGCGTGTATGAAATCATCATCATTGTCAGCTGTAATAACCGCGTACTTGTCGTAGCTGTCACAGTTTCGTTCACCGATGATTTGGGGAGGTGGGGTAGGTAGCTGCGCGTTGGAGGAGGGAGCTGATAAATCAGTGCGCTGTAGGTGGATTGCTAAGTGGGGGTAGGCAAGGTAGCTGTGCACTGAAGGCAATAGCGTGGATGCATGAGCGCCATCGAGGGTGCGACTGGGCCATGTCTGACAATGTCTCTAACCATTGATATGGCCCGTCTCGGGGTCCCCATCCAGGAAGATGGCAATAACCAGCGCAGCTGAGTTTGCTGGTAATGACTTTTATACTTCGTTGCCAAGTCATTGTTTGACCGCCTCTGGCTCTCTTCCACCCTTCACGTGGCTGTGCGAAAAGAGCCCTTCGAGAACAAAGGTTACCACGATGTGCATCATTACAGCAAAATGACATGATGATTTCTAATGCGTATTACATGAGGTCATCTGTTAACGAATTGTGTAGGACAGCTTGCGGACGTCAACGTCAGAAAACATGGATGCATACACACAACGTTCATGCGATGA